CCTGTTAAACTTACTACTTACCTGTTATACTTACCTGTTATACTTACCTGTTGACCTGTTATACTTACCTGTTATACTTACCTGTTATACTTACCTGTTGACCTGTTAAACTTACTACTTACCTGTTATACTTACCTGTTATACTTACCTGTTGACCTGTTATACTTACTACTTACCTGTTATACTTACTACCTGTTATACTTACCTGTTATACTTACCTGTTATACTTACCTGTTGACCTGTTATACTTACCTGTTGACCTGTTAAACTTACTACTTACCTGTTATACTTACCTGTTATACTTACCTGTTGACCTGTTATACTTACTACTTACCTGTTATACTTACTACCTGTTATACTTACCTGTTATACTTACCTGTTATACTTACCTGTTGACCTGTTATACTTACCTGTTGACCTGTTATACTTACCTGTTGACCTGTTATACTTACCTGTTATACTTACCTGATGACCTGTTATATATACCTGTTATACTTACCTGTTTACCTTACCACTTTAATGTATCTGTTGATCTGAGCTGTTTGACAGGTGTCTCAACTAAATGTTTACTTTTAAAAAATCCTCAGTTTTCCTTCTTGTGGAATAGATTCAAAGCACTTGTTTCTGTTAATCTCTTCTTCTGTCAGTAAAATATTTTTATCCTGAAACTTCTCCTGCAGGTTTTCTGTCCATTTTTAAAATCAACCTGCTGATTCACGGAAGCAAACAATAAAAACTTGTTCTATAAGTAGTAAGCTCCGCCCCTGGCCACACCCCCTCTGTATTCTGATTCAGAGCTATGACAGTTCTTTGGCTCCCAGCTGATGCAGAACTAGTGATGTAAACAAGCAGAACATTTTTATTTCAAACTAAAATAAGTTTAACTCAATTATCAATGAGAAAATTGTTTAAAGTTAAAATGATCCACTGTATGTAAATATAAAAACCCAAAAGGTAAATAATAATAACAACATTAAAAACCAGTGGTGGGCACATATTATGTGGGCAATATATTAACAATATATTAACAATTTATTAACAATTTATTAACAATATATTAACAATGTATTAACAATATATTAACAATTTATTAACAATGTATTAACAATATATTAACAATTTATTAACAATGTATTAACAATATATTAACAATATATTAACAATATATTAACAATATATTAACAATATATTAATACATGGACTCACATCCAGCTGAATGTCAATGATCAGTCTAAAGAGAGCAACATGTGACTCATGTTGTCTGTTGTTCATGGGTTGACTGGGTTATTTTAGTGCTTTATTATTAGCTTTAGCTAAAACTTTCAGTGTGTTAGTGCTTTAGAATTAGGGGATCTAAATATTTGAGTTGGTGTTTTAGGGCTAGTGGAACTAATTTTTAGATTAGTGCTGCCCACCTCTGTTAAAAACCAATAAAAACAACTTAAACTGGTCGATTTTATTTATGAAGCACATTTAAAACAACCTAAGGTTTAATTTTGAGCATAAAACCAATTTAAACAAACCAACAATATAAAAATGTTTTGTTGTTTACTGGTTGTTTTTTGTTGTTTACTGGTTGTTTTCTGTTGTTTACTGGTTGTTTTCTGTTGTTTACTGGTTGTTTTCTGTTGTTTACATGTTGATTTTGTTCCTTACCTGTTGTTTTTCAGTAAGGACCTGAATCATGCTGCCTGTAGCCTTGTTGACGGTGTATCTGGGTGTGGTTCTGTCGGCCCCGGCTCTGGACCCAGAGCTGGACCAGCACTGGGACCAGTGGAAGAGCTGGCACCAGAAGAAGTACCACGAGGTGACCCACTGAGGTTTTATTGTTTCTTTCTGAAACTGTGGGACACATCAGGATTAGTTTGTTTTCAGCAGAACCTGAACTGTTTCAGTCACACTCAGCAGGTCCATGGGACCACCTGAGACGCTGCTTTTCTTGTTTTCAATCTAATCCTGTTCATAATTAATAATAATTCTATTAATTTCTATTTCTATTAATTGAAAGTTCCCAATAACTGAATTTGGATCTAATTCTTTAACTGGAGCTGATTCTTTAATAAATCCTTTCTGTGTACAGTTATACAGTTTAGCAACTTGTGTTAGTTAAATATCTGCAGGAAGGACCAAAGAGTGACAGAAAAACAAAGCAAACATCTGATTCTCGTGACAGAACAACGTACAGTTTACAGAGTGAAGATTACAAATCCTGTTTGTTGTGTGATGCAGAGCGAGGAGGGCTGGAGGAGGATGGTGTGGGAGAAGAACCTGAAGAAGATCCAGTTGCACAACCTGGAGCACTCCATGGGCAAACACACGTACCGGCTGGGCATGAACCAGTTTGGAGACATGGTGAGACCACAGCTCAGACCTGTCTCACCTGGTATCAGGTGTTAAACTCTGGTTAAACTAAAGACATAAATTATCCTTTAAAATGTGGTAAAACCAGTTTTACATTTTCTAAACAAGCTGTCAGCTGGAGATCAGTTTCACTAGACTAAAGAATAAGTACAGCAGAATATCATCTACATAATGCTGTAAAATGTAATAATATTAAGGAGAAAAAAAAGGAAAACACAAAGTAAAAAGTATTGGTCCAAACATACAACCCTGTGGAACTCCATAAAGATTCAGACGTCTCGATGTTTGACCCAGTGATCTTTCTGCAGACTAACGAGGAGTTCAGACAGGTTATGAATGGCTTGAAGCCCACATCACACAGGAAGACCAAGGTGTCCGTGTTCATGAAGTCCAACTTCCTGAAAACTCCTGACAGCGTGGACTGGAGGAGCCAAGGTTACGTCACACCTGTGAAGAACCAGGTAACAGAGTGTTTGCTTGTGTCTCTCAGGTGGAAGAGATAAAAACACATACAGTATATAACCCTAAACTCTGAAGGTTGGGTTCATGTTAACCCCTCCTGGTCCGTGTTTCCTCAGGGTTCTTGTGGTTCCTGTTGGGCTTTCAGCGCCACTGGAGCCCTGGAGGGCCAGCTCTTCAGGAAGACCAGCAGGCTGGTGTCCCTGAGCGAACAGAACCTGGTGGACTGTTCAAGACCTGAAGGCAATTATGGCTGCGGTGGTGGTTGGATGGATCAAGCCTTCCGGTACATCGAGGACAGCGGTGGTCTGGACACTGAGACCTCCTATCCTTACCAGGGAACAGTAGGTCACTCAGGACCTCCTAAAAACAAGTTCACCACAGTCCACCTGTCCCCTCATGTCCTCCTTTGTTCAACTTTCAGGATCAGACATGTCGCTACAGCTCAGCGTCCAGCGCAGTCAACGTGACGGGAATCGTTGACGTCCCCAAAGGCAGTGAAGTGTCTCTGAAGGAGGCCGTGGCCTCGGTGGGCCCAGTTTGTGTTGCTATTGATGCCGGCCATTATTCCTTCCAGTTTTACGCATCAGGTCAGACACTTCAGGCACGGCTCTGAAGACTCCAGTGGGAGGAAAACTCTTAATTTGTAGCTTCCTGTCTGTGATTGGTTAAAAACACGAGCCTTTGAATTTTAGGTATTTTCTACGAGCCGGCCTGCAGTTTGGTACCAAACCACGGGGTTCTGGTGGTGGGTTATGGTACGGAAAGTTCTGCAGACTACYGGCTGGTGAAGAACAGGTCAGTGAATCTTCTGAGAGTTTGTTTTATTGTCAGGTTTTATATCTAAGTTACTGTAGAATGAAAAGTATAAATGTTCTATATGAGAAGTAGGGCTGCAACAACACATGTACCCGTGTTGAACCGTAGTGAACAGAGCTTCAGGTTCAACACACACTTGTATGGAACAATACAGATTTATTTTATCAACTTGTCTTCTGAAGATGCTCTGTGTTGAAGGATCAGTGGATCTGTGTTTGACTACTCCACCTAGGCTGTATTTTTGAGCTCAGATCCACTGAGAAACTTGTTTCAGCAACATTTCAGATTCAGATTCATTTATTAATGAGCACACAACAAGTTGGTGGAATTTGCTTCTGGTACAGCATGACCTGCTCACATGTGTGTGTCAGAACACACAATACAAACAAACACAAGGTGCACTAAAGGATATAAATTAGTGATCTGATTTGGTGACCGTACAGCAGTTGGGAACAAACTGTTTTTGTTGATAAGGACCTGCAGCGTTTTCCAGAAGACATAAGTGTGAACAGAAGATGTGCAGGATGAGAGGGGTCTGACATGATCTTTGCTGCTCGTTGTGTAATGTGTTTATGATAGTTTAATTTAAAAACTGTACTTTTAAGGCTAAACAAATGTTTTTAAATAATTTAAATAAATTACAAGTTAAAAGGGGCATGGACATTTCTCTGTTTTGTATCGAAAAAATATCGAACCGTGAGACTAAAGTACCGAACCGAACCGTGAATTCTCTGTGTCGTTGCAGCCCTAAGGAGCAGCTCTGTTTTTTTATAAAGGAAGAGTTTATTACTGTAATCTCTGACCTAACGTCTGTCTGCTTGCAGCTGGGGTGAATCCTGGGGTGATAAGGGCTACATCAAGATGTCCAGAAACAAAAACAATAACTGTGCCATAGCGTCGTTCGCCAGTTATCCTGTGGTCTGAGAGCAGCGGCACATCGTGACATCACAGCTCTGATGGTGAAGAAGTGAGGAAGACCTTTGTGTGCTTCATCCTGAGGAAACCGTTGGTTTTATGTGGTTCTTATAAATGTGACTTCACTGCTCAGGTTTTAATGTCCCGAGTCGTACCTCTGTACTGTTTTATGGTTCTTTACATGTAGTAGTTTATTTGGTATTTTTGTGTTTTATTTTCTTATTTCCTGTCTGGTCTCCTGGTGTTTCCTGTCATTTCTTCCACTTTAGCTTCAGTCAGTTTCTCAGTGTTCCCACCTGCCCCTCACACCTGTTCTCTGTAGTCATTATTCAGCCCTGCCCCTCACACCTGTTCATCACCTGTAATCACCAGGTGTTTCCACTTCTCACTCATCCTGTTAGATTTAACCAGTCTTCTGTTGCTCAGTGGATCATTTTCTGTTTTTCAAACCTTCAGTCAAGTTTTCATCATCTTTAAAAGTAAGTTTTCCTTTGATTACTTAATAAATCACATGTTTTTGTTTTCAAATCCTTGTGCCTGCCTGTGTTTTGGGTTCAACCATCATTGATAAACTAAGTTATCTGTTTTCATTAATAACAGAGACATTTCTCCATCAGTGGTTCCCAAAGCTGGGGTCAGGACCCAAAGTGGGGTCCTGAAACATCAAGGTGGGGTCCTGAAACATCAGGGTGGGGTCCTGAAACATCAAGGTGGGGTCCTGAAACATCAAGGTGGGGTCCTGAAAAGATTTTCTAAATTAATGACATTTTTGCCTTAGCTGTTACCTAAAATGTATAAATGTAGAATAATAAATATTGTTACTAAGCCCATGTTTAGCTGACCTGATACAAATGTTTATCATATAAAAACAGTTGGGGGCTCAGGTCTCTGCTGCTGGGATTTTATGGGTCAAAAGCTGAAAACTTTGGGAACCACTGCACTTCAGAAATCAATTTAAAGGCTAATAAAATAATTGCTGATGTAATATTTTCTCTATAATTATTACAAAAACACAAAACAAATATAAATAAGTATTTATATTTGTGTAGCCTTTGTTTTTAGGGTTGTTAAAGTTTGTGTACTCAGACCAGTAATATTTGGGGTCACAAGTTTTTGCCATGAATATTTTGTGGGTCAGAAGATAAAAAGTTTGGGAACCTCTGATCTACATGACCCTGAAATATCTGTTTTGTCTTTATTGGATCAATTAAAGTTTTAAAACACCAGACTCATGCTTCTTGTTCAACAACACTAATAAAGGACAGAAAAACACTGTTAACTTACAGCTAAAATAAACCTGTTAATAAAGTTCTAACTGTTGTGTTGATGAAGAAATGTTGGCTCTGCAGCGTGGCACAGACTAACCTGCAGTTAGCCTCTGACCTTCATCATCATCATCATCATCATCATCATCATCATCATCAGTCACATGAAAAACAGCTGTATCAGTCCAGTACATGTTACAGCTGGTACAGATGTTGTTTGTGTAAAAAAAGATAAAAAATATATTTCAACATGTTTTTATTTGAATAATGTCGTCCAGATTAGGTTGTAGTTGTAGAACCAGTTCAGCTCTGTTTGTGTTTTTCATTTTCTGTCCTAAAAGATAAAAAAAATCATATTTCTAGTTTTCTTTAATAAAAACAATCTATTCATCTGTTTTACTGCGGTTGAATCACACAACAGAAGGAACTTCCTGTCCTGCTGCTGAGGGGTCTGGGACCAGGTTCAGGAGAACTTCTGGACAAAGCTCAGGTACTCGGTGACATCATCAGCTGAGCCCACCACGAAGGGGACCCTCTGGTGGAGGGACTCGGGCTGGACGTCCAGGATCCTCTGGGTCCCGGTGGTGGCCAGGCCCCCGGCCTGCTCCATCAGGAAGGCGATGGGGTTACACTCATACAGCAGACGCAGCTGCAAGGTCACCAAATATCAGATTAGAGACCAGAAAACCTTCAGATTATCATCTGAAGATCAGTGAAGGTCGTTAGGATCATGTTTGTTTGTTTGTTTATTGTTACTCTGATGTTTTTATCAAACACAAGCAGGATGTTTGTCAACAACTGAGACATTTAGTCTCTGTGTCTGATCTGTATGAATCATCAATGTCCTTCAGACTGACCTTTCCCTTTGGACTCTTCTCGTTAGCAGGATACATGAAGATCCCTCCGTAGGCGATGGTTCGATGGACGTCTGAGACCATGGAGCCCACGTACCGAGCTCCGTACGGGGCACCGCCATCCTGCAGGTCACACATGTCCACAGCAGGTCATACATGTGCACAGCAGGTCATACATGTCAACAACACATCATACATGTCAACAACACGTCACACATGTCAACAACACGTCATACATGTCAACAACACGTCATACATGTCAACAACACGTCATACATGTCAACAACACGTCATACATGTCAACAACACGTCATACATGTCAACAACACGTCACACATGTCAACAACACGTCACACATGTCAACAACACGTCACACATGTCAACATGTAACCCTATAGTTGGAACACACTCTGCGGTCCCCTTTTTAAATAGGGGGACCACCACCCCAGTCTGCCAGTCCAGGGGAACTGCCTCTGATGTCCACGCAGTATTGTAGAGTCGTGTCAACCAACACAACCCCACAACATCCAGAGCCTTGAGGAACTCTGGGTGAATCTCATCCACCCCCAGCGCCCTGCCAACGAGGAGCTTTTTAACCACCTCAGTGACCTCAGCACCAGAGATTGGAGAGTCCGACCCAGGGTCCTCAGGCTCTGCTTCCTCATGGGAAGACATGTCAGTAGGATTGAGGTGGTCTTCAAAGTATTCTGCCCACCAACCCACAATGTCCTGATTTGAGGTCAGCAGTGCACCATCCCCACCATAAACAGTGTTGGTGGTGAACCGCTTTCCCCACTGAGACACCAGATGGTGGACCAGAATCGCCTTGAAGCCGTACAGAAGTCTTTTTCCATGGCCTCTCTGAACTCCTCCCACGCCTGAGTTTTTGCCTCAGCGACCACCTGAGCCACAATCTGCTTGGACTGCTGGTACCTATCGGCTGCTTCCAGAGTCCCACAGGCCAAAAAGACCTGATAGGACACCGACAACCTTACGGCCACAGCTCAGGTAAGCTGCCTCGACAATAGAGGCATGGAACATGGCCCACTCAGACCCAATGTCCCCCACCTCCCCCGGAACGTGTTCGAAGTTCCACCGGAGGTGTCAGTTGAAGCTCCACCTGACGGGAGACTCTGACAAATGTTCCCAGCAGACCCTCACTATATGTTTGGGTCTGCCAGGTCTGACGGGCATCCTCCCCCACCAACGGAGCCAACTCACCACCAGGTAGTGGTCAGTTGACAGCTCCACCCCCTCTACACCCGAGTGTCCAAAACATGCAGCTGCAGATCAGATGAAACAACAACAAAGTTGATCATCAAACTGCAGCCTAGGGTGTCCTGGTGCCAAGAGCACATATGGACACCCTTATGTTTGAACATGGTGTTCATTATGGACAGTCCATGATGAGCACAGAAGTCCAATAACAAAACACCGCTCGGGTTCAGATCGGGGCGCCGTTCCTCCCAATCATGCCTCTCCAGGTCTCACTGTCATTGCCCATGTGAGCGTTGAAGTCCCGCTGCACAACAAGGCAGTCCCCGTTAGGAGCGCTCTCCAGCAACAAGGACTCCAGAAAGGGTGGTAATCTGACCTGCTGTTAGGCTCATAGGCACAAACAACAGTCAGGACCCCCCCCCCCCCCCCACTCATGGGTAAAGGGAGGCTACCCTCTCATTCACCGGGGTGAAACCCAATGTTCAGGCACCAAGATGGGGGGCAATAAGTGTGTCCACTCCTGCTCAGCACCTCTCAGCATGGGCAACTCCAGAGTGGAAGAGTGTCCAACCCCTCTGGAGGAGACTGGTTCCAGAGCCAGAGCGGTGTGTCGAGGTGAGTCCAACTATATCTAGTCAGAACCTCTCAACCTCACACACCAGCTCAGGCTCCTCCCCCACCAGAGAGGTGACATTCCACGTCCCTAGAACCAGCTTCTGTAGCCGAGGATCGGACCTCCAAGGTCCTCACCTTCGACCACTGCCCAACAAACATTGTACCTGACCCCTACGGCCCCTCCCACAGGTGGTGAGCCCATGGGAAGGGGGACCCACGTCTCCTCTTTGGGCTGTGCCCGACCGGGCTCCATGGGTGAAAGCCCAGCCACCAGGCGCTCACCAACGTGCCCCACCTCCAGACCTGGCTCCAGAGTGGGGCCCCGGTGACCCACGTCCAGGTGAGGGAACACTGAATCCATCTGTAGTACTCATCATAGGGGTCTTTGGGCTGTGCTTTGTCTGATCCCTCACCTAGGACCTGTTTGCCTTGGGTGACCCTACCAGGGGCACGAAGCCCCTCAGAGGTCCTAGGATCATTGGGACACTCAAACCTCTCCACCTCGATAAGGTGGCAGCCCAGGGCGAGGGCTGCTGTTGGTCCTGATCCAAAACAAACCTGACTCAGTTGGTGTCAGAATAACTCTGAGGTTTTATAGTCAGCAGAGCTGCTGCTCAGGTAAACAACAGAGAGGTCAAAGGTCACCTGAAACAAACAGGACAAAGTATTCAGCTGCTCCACGAGACGATTATGCTTTTATTGTTACTTTAAATATAATCGGAAAAAATTTTAGCTTTTTATTGTTTCTTTTACTTTAACTTAAAACAAACTTAGTTTTTTATTGTTGCTTTTACTTCAGTCCAGATAACCTTTAAAGCATTAAAATCTAACTGAGCTGTTCTGAAATGAAAGTTTATGTTTTTACAGTCATGAGTTTCTGAGTCAGATACTATCATCTGTGTGTGTGTGTGTGTGTGTGTGTGTGTGTGTGTGTGTGTGTGTGTGTTACACACCACAAACACACTGAAACACTCTGAAAGACCTGAAATAAAAAACAAACATTTTGTTCTTTTAGAAATGTAACTTGAATGAAAGTGGAGGTTCAGAAGTAAAGACTTCTGTCATTAAAGGAGTTCTCAGGTAGATTTCAATAAAAATGGTTTTATATAATTTGTTTAAATGAGAACGAAAAGTTTTACACAAAAAACTTTAGAAATGTTTTATCTGTTTTTGTGTACGTCATTCAACCCTAACCCTAAATAACAAGGAATTTCACAGATGGTTCGTCATTTTCCTGACAAACTGCTGAGTCATGCTGCGGTCACACATGCTGTGTCACTGCAAGGATCATGACATGTACGTCCTGTACTCTCACCTGTGGGTACTTAATGTACTCTCACCTGTAGTACTCCTGTCCTCTCACCTGTGGGTACTTCCTGTAGAACTCCTGTACTCTCACCTGTGGGTACTTCCTGTAGTACTCCTGTACTCTCACCTGTGGGTACTTCCTGTACTCTCACCTGTAGAACTTCTGTAGAACTCCTGTACTCTCACCTGTAGAACTTCTGTAGAACTCCTGTACTCTCACCTGTGGGTACTTCCTGTAGAACTCCTGTACTCTCACCTGTGGGTACTTC